TGTGGCTGTTTTGTCTTGTGTTGGTTAGCTAGAGTTAGTTACACCGTGCATGGGGACTTTTCATAGTCACACGATTTGAAGTGGTTCATTGTCGACTTGTAATTACGTTTCATATATTCGTACTTATAAAGATATATATCAAGTTATTCCTGTGTGAACGGCGCTCTTCATAAGAGCCAGCGGGGAATCTTGATGTGTGAAATAACGACTGCAGAATAAGTAGACTTTGACATTCTGTAATTTCTGTAAAGAAGTGTCAGCTGAGTTATTTTTTAAAATTCGGAGATTGTTTCGATGAATGGAAAGTTATGCTTGTTAAAGCTAAACTTTTTCCTCTACGGTTCGCGAAGCGTATCGGAATAAATGGTTAGTCTTTGCTTTGGAAAAGATAAGCCACCTGTCCACTCCAACGTACTTAATATCCGCAAAAGCAGTTGCAGTGTTTTGTGGAAAACGCTTGTAATCAGCGGTAATGGTTACTATTAGAAAAGTAACCTGAACTTCTGAGATCATTCTTTCTCTGGATAAACTTTATCAATCTCACTCACAAAAGCTCTATAACTCCTTGAAAAGCTTGCACAGCATGATCTCGAAAAAGTCCCCTTATCTACAACAATGGCTATTCTCGTTTGAAACGTGACTTGAACTTTTGCATACACTTTCACTTTACACGTGCTTCGTCAGTCTCACTCACAGAAGCTATGAAATTTCTCTAAGGCCTACATGGGATGGTATACTGAGAATTCTTCATGTCAACAACACTGGCTTTTTTGGTTTGAACTTTACTTGAACTTGTGCAAACATTTTCACGTTGAACAAACTTCGTCAGTCACACTAACACAAGCTTTAGAAGTCCTTCGATAGTCTACACGGGGTTATGCTATAGAAAACCCTACTTATCATCGATAACGACTACTTATGTCATACTGTAAGGTGAGATTGTAGAAGAAGTGTTGAAAATGCGCAAAACCGGGATTTTACTGTGGCGTATAAGTTCTCAGTGTTGATCAGTTCAGTGGTTAAGGGATCGTTTATTTTGGAATAGTCTTTTACGTCCTCGCTTTTTTTCGTGTGCTGCTTCAGAGTGTTGTCACTTTTCTCTTAGGGTCGTTTATCCATACAGCTCATGGTGGTGTTTTCGGCGGAGAATCATGGGATACGCCAGAGAAAATCGATGAAATATATTTGAGGAACCCTGTAGTTGGAGACCCGTTAGATTTGTGAGTGTTTTGGGTCATTTCATAGCTTTATCTGTTGTGTATGTCACGATTTTTTCTCGCGTTTTCAATGAGTTTGCTGCTGCGTTCTCCATAGTAATGTCATCTTTAGATAGTCTAGTGAAGTTATAAACGAAATAGATATCCTTGTTTGTAGACTCATTTGCGTTTTATGATGAAAAAATTCGCTTTTTTATGTTTCCATACGACTGCTCCATTAGATATTCATCTTCAAACTGAGCAAATGTTTGGCCGTCGACAACTGCCCAGTCTGCTGATACTGATTTTGTTCTTACTTTTGACTGTGTTGTTGTGGCAATATATTCCGCTGTTTTGCCTAAGGATGTTTTTAAGGATATTGATACTTTGAAGTCTGCTATATGGTCCGATATGTACTCATATTTCGTCGGAACAGCCCTACTGTTATCGAATTCTTACGTGTTTCTATCCCTTCCAGCTTATTCGTATCGTTTTTAGTACTGTGAATGATGTCTCTATCATAGCTCATTCCATTACTGGATCGAGGGCTACTCCAAGACTTACACCAAATGTTTTGTGTGACTTCCTCTCTTCTGTCGTTCTATCTGCATGCGTCCCTTTCTTGTGGGATTTCATAAAAGTATAGACCGACTTCAACAGTTCCGTGTAACTCATATGTTTGTGACTGACGTCAAATATTTAGGTCGTCCCTCAACTTCATTGAATTCTAAGGATCCATTCGAGGTTGACTGGGACGACGCCTTTGATGTTGCGTCTTCCAACGACTATTTCACTCCCAACAAGCCCGAACCTGCCGAGGTCGACACCAAAGGCAGTAGTTTCTTTGAAGTAGAAAACTATCCGTTTTCATTTGATAACCTCATTCTTGATTTAACAGTGCTTCTTGTTAAAAAAGTTTATCGTTCGGCGCTCCGAGCTTTGAGTTCAGGTCATCTTGTAAGTGCTAAAATCTGGTCATTAGAGTTGTGAAGTATGAGAACTCTTTTTCTTGCACTTGGAAATTTTGCTAAAATTTTTTATGATTTTTATTGATTGAAAGAAAACAGTCTTCTGATTACGATCCTTAGCTCACTAGGAGTGGTTTATCATAATAGTAATTATTAAATAAGCTGGTTGTCTTAACCTTGTACGCTACTAGCCAAATTCAAATCTAGTCACCGTAACGAGCTCTACTGTTTATGTTGTCAGTGCTGTAGAAATCATTAATTGTTTTTTATTTTAAGAGAACATTTTTCAATTTACTCCCCGGCCGTCGTCGACACCCGCTGTCCTCCCATCGGCATCTCCTGGTAATACTTTTAGAATTCCGGCAAATATTCACGATTATGCGATTATTTTGAAGAAGTACATTCAAGGTATTATTTTAGAGCAGCAGCATTCGACTGACGTCTACTCATTCTCAAGCCGTCCCAACACCGTAGCTGGCGTGACGAACCAGGTAACCACATTACGATATGCTAATCCTTGACATCGCAGTGTTTTTCTTTTTTGTCAGCAAAAGCAGGTGCGCTTATAGCGTAATGGTCAAACGTGCCTTGTAGTACGCTTAGTGACAATTGCTGATTCAATCCCATCCCTAAGAGTCAGCCCTCTCATTTTTCTGGAGTTAACAGATGGCTAGCAGATTTCTTTGAAGTGATAGAAATAGTGAGTGAATTTATCGGTGAGTCACTGCAAGTCATTGAATAAGCCACATATGTATTCAGTAACTTCTTAAATGCTCAATGAATTTGAATAATAGGTTGTAGAGAAAGTTCTGTCTTATTTTCAAAATGCATGGAAGAAACTTATTCCACTGTCAATTCGTGTGGGACTTATTTGGACGTCAAGAAGTGTATGCTGGTCTCCTGGAGAATGTGCCAAATTGTTATTAGATCACAAACTCGTCAGCTAACATGCGCAAACTCATCGATGGATCTCCTTCAATTCGATTGACCACTACTTGGCGAGTGACTTCTTCATTCTCTTGGCTTGTCGGTCAATAGGTCTCCTGCTTCAAGGAATGTTTTGAATTAAAATAATTGTGCGAACATCGCGAATTTCGTCACCATGCACCTTGACGATCGATGAGCCTAAAATGCGTCGACACCCAGTTTGTAGTGAAATTGGAGAAGGAGACGAATTTTTTTCCTTGAACAGTTCCATTTTGAAGGCTGTATAGACAAATGAGTCGCACACCTCGAACCACTGCGCACGTGAGCTCCCTATCAAGTCGAAACGTACGAGCACTGTCGACAAATCGACAAATTTTATAATTAATAACAGAACATTTGAAGGCATAGCAATATCAGAACTGACACAGAAATCCAAATGGTAAGAATTATTCTATTCTGGTTAACAGATGTGATTGACGTCCTCCAGTTGAAGGTTTGGGTCACCAACGATAAACACGTTAATTCGCCATGGTTCACGGGGTCACCTATCGTGAACGAGTCATCCAGATGGCTCTAATGTTAAGTGAGGGAAACGAATTGATGTGACGAAACTTAAGCGGCTTATCAACCGCCTCACGATTCTAAGATAGAGTGAAATGATTCAAAGAGAGCGCACTGGGGTTGAGGGCTTATGGCGAGGAGATATCACAACTTCAGGCACTATGAAGGTATACTTACACAGGTTTGTGATTCATGCGTGACGAAGTATCAAGCCCCGCTTGGCAGCAAGAACTTGTTGCGATCAACGACCAACTTCAAATGACGCACTCAAGTTGTCAAAAGAAGGCAGATCGGCTCCAATACAAACCTCGGCGAGAACCCAAAAGCGTTGGTTCTCAAGGCTACACAGCCAAATAATGAAGTTTGGTAAAATATCAACAACTACAATTTTGTATATTAAACCTCGCACAATCTCAGAAAATATCGAAGGGTAGAACCTACATTGCAGACATAACAGACACTAACACATTCGATTGATACTCGAGATCTGAACTAATTATTCTGGACCAAGAATATTTCTGATCCTCATCAAACTGAAACGCCGCAATACGCTACAAGCACGATTATGTTACTAATAACAGTGAAAAAAGTTTCAAAAAAGTCCGTATGAAGGTGAACATTCAAGGAGAGTACGAATATATTCATGAGGGTGTCGCAAAAGACTTTGCCACCAGCAGGGGTCGAACCTGCGACCTTGGGCTTATTAGACCCACGCTCTAACCGACTGAGCTATAGCGGCCGACGACTTTGTACTCACAGAGACGACAGTTATCTTAGTTTCAGTGATAGTTGACTCGTTGCTTATATACTTTGCGATAGAGTGCTGTTCTTTGACTCGTTTTGATTTGTCCTGCCAGCGGATTTTTGGGATAGGATTTATCCTTATAACGAACAACCTAAATACATCAAAATATGTACACACATATGTACAACAACCATCATGAGCATTAACGACACCAAATTAACCATAAAAGGGAGCGATAAAGTTGATGCCAAAGACAAGTGAGTGGCGACGTCGAAAATGAGTGATTGATTCGAGATATATGATAGCTGATGTCTTGACACATAGTCAATATTATCGACAGATGAGTAGAAGAAGATAAAGAAAACGAGCAAACGGTGAGATCGTGAAGAGGAATTAAGCGCCATTGTGGACGTGACGTCCGCTATCGCCATCTTCCTTGACCGCTGAGCAACCATGTCGTCGACAGGTGTCTACCACCGGCTATGTCCCGTTTACATCGCGATCTCGGGCCGATAAACACGCTTATTACGTCGTCTTCCGATTACTTAAGGCAGCGTCCACAGGATACAGTGTTTGCTTATCTGAATCAATTGCAAAGCAATGTGCCGCCAGCAGGGGTCGAACCTACGACCTCGAGCTTATAAAACCCGCGCTCTAATCGACTGAGGCGGCAGCTGGTGCGGACCCTACGTGTACACGAGACAGCTGTGAACGGATTACAGCCCACTATTCACTCGGCAACCCTGTCCTCCTTCTTAAGAAGACTACAGGCGGAAGCTCTCGTCGACGATCAATTCCAAAAGGGATGCGCTACGTGTTCCTCTCCACCTAAGTCTTTGAGGCGATCAAATGCAAATCTGGCCTCTACAGTTACTTGCAGTGGCCTATCGATGTATCAAATCAGTGCTGCTATGCTCTCAGACAAGGGTGGTACGATTTGCTCAGCTACAATTGTGTAGGGTTAAGTTAGCTTTAGAGCAGGACCGAAACGTCGACCAACTGTATGTCGCACGGCACTTCTAACCAGTGCGCTACCTCGCCACCTCATAGCAATGTTGACTCTGAGAAATCGCTTCCAGCTGAATACAAAGTTCAACTCCTCCACCGCCTTTTTCAAATTCAGCCGTTATGTAGTACACTGTATCGGGCTATGAGTATTGTCCGTAATTTCACACTTGACACAAAATTTGACATCTATACCTTGTGAAGGTATTTAAGACGAAACTGTCGACAGGATCGTCCGCCAGTGTGTACTCTCGTGATTCTCCTTCGATCCACTTCGCTATACGATTATTATTTTTTTTATCCTAATTTATTTATCCGTCTTCACAGTGTTCTTCCTCATTGTGTGGATCCCACCATTTCTAGCGTTCAATTTGTTCTGTCGTCTTCTCCCCTGAACGCCGTAGAATATTGTTTGAGCTGGACTCCTAGCAATCTTGAGGGCAGCCAGGCTGTGGCGTTCTGTAGGGCGTTGTTGATCACTACCGGAGAGCGTTGGAGAGGCGATGGAGCTTGGCTCCGCGCGTGCGGCGGCGAGCATCACAACTACTCGGCTGCACCGCCACGCAAAATTCTTTTGTTAACCGGTTGACTTCTGTGGACCTAGAAGCGTGTCCACGACCCCGTCTCATCTGCCCCGAGCGGACGCCGACTACAGCTACTTTTCGTTGCAGGACCTGCAGTTGATGTTTGGAATGATAAGCGTGCGATCCGCAACGGTTTAGTGACTGCTGTTTTTTTATGTTGAAACCACACTTGCACATACAGCATCAAGAAAACATCAGTCAATACACCGTGCAGGCCGCATGCGAGTCCATCTATAACTTAACTGCAGGTCCTGCAACGAAATTTGGTTGTAGTCGGCGTCCACTTTGGGCAGAGGAGACGGAGTCGTTGTAGACGTTTCTAGATCAGCGAAAGTTAACTGCTCAAGGGAATATTTCAGTGAATGTCTGACTTAGGCAGTATGAGCGATGAGGACTTTAAGAAGAATGGACTCGGAAGTGGTCGACGGTTTGTTGACAAATTCTCTGCTTGTCCATCTTACAAAGAGGATTCTAGTCTCATCTTGTTTTATTTCCCAAGTTTCAGGGATTCTTTGAGTCACGACTCGGATTCCACACCCTCACATCGATCTCATCATGATGATGATGATCTTTCACGGGAGGTGCCCAGTGAGAAAGGTCTGTGCATTTTTGATTGACTTATATCCCATATATATATTTGTATTTCATATATTATTTCATATATTATTTTATTATATTATTATGCCTTATCTTGCGGTGTTTGCCTTATGGAGAAGCAATAGCTTTCTCCGTCAGACGGGATTTCTCACTAGACTTTTAATAGTCATCTGAGCGTTTACAAGGCTAAAGGATAAAGCTCTCGACGTTGATCAATCCCTAAGGGATGCGCCATACATTCGTCTTTGATTTCCGGCTTCGTTTGAACTGGTTGTATATATGGCCTTTACAGTGACTTGGGGTGGCCTACCAGTCTATGTGTCGATGCTGCTTATCCTTCTAAACAAGTCTGGTAATAGTCCTACCGACTCTGGATGAATAGAAATCATGGTGAGCCTTAGCGCGAGATCAAACCATCAATTTCTTGTGCGACGCAAGCACCTCTAACCACTGCAGAACGTGCGCTTTTCGAAAACCTGAATTCCAGTAAATTCATAAGTGTATTTGGTTCTGAAAAGGATCTTCTTACTGTCCTGCAGCAGTGAGAATGAAATTACGCTTTTTGTGACTACGAAGGACAAATGAAAAAACGATCTCATTCGCCGGAGAGGAACTTTTCATAGAAGTGTTAGAAACTATACGAATGCTAAGACTTCAGGCTACAGTCTACATTGCCGGTTTTCGAGGAAGCCTTTTCTGACGTTGCTACAAAAGAAGATTTCCTGTATTGCCGACACTCGTATTTCTCGCTGGACAGAAATCTTTCTTCGGACTATCAGTAATGATTCGATAACATAATCGTTTGTCATTCCAACGCTGTACTCCAAAAAAGAGCTCTATCCGGCGAGAAATATGCGCGTCTGCAACGCAAAGACCTTCTTTAGTAGCATCTTTGAAAAAGGGCTTGTTCAAAAAGCGGCAACATGTGAACATAGCCTGGAGCCTTAGCTTTCGAATGGTTGCTCACACTCCTATTAAAAGTTTTTCTCCAGCGAATGAGATCGGTTTTTTATTTGTCTCCTCACAAACGAATAGTACCAAAATTGTTTCTCAAACGCAGCGCGCGTTATCGCACGTATCTTCATATCTATCTGAGAGCTTAGTCCGCGTTTGGTGAAAAAACCTAGATTCATTTTTAATGAAATTGTATGAGAAAACTTTGTTCTGACGTGATGTAGACTTAGGCTTTTTATTCCCCTAGGCCAAATAAGTCTAAGCCTTAGTAGCACAGACCTATGCACGAAAAACATCTGAATGTGTAGAGGAATATTGGAATGTCAGAGTCATGTGTTTCATCTGAAATCTCCTTCAAAACGGCGAAGAAACACTTGAATGACAAATGAGCGCACCGTGTGATTCGCGTTGTGCAATCAATCATTTGTGCTACGTGGTCGATCAACTCATCGCAAAAGGGATAACTCTAAATATGAAACGCGCTTCTTTTTTTTTTTGATGCAACGCTCTAGAAAGGTTCCCAAAAAGAAACTAGTATTGGAATCTCCGAAATTTGAGCAATCAACACTTATCAAAAAATTGAGATTATGCAGATTACGCCTTGTCTCTAAGGGGCAAGAAAAGCTTCTCTGTAACAGAAAAGTACCTGTCTTATATTGTAGTCTCTTTCGTGTTTTATATGCTATCTTCTTCGTCGTAGCGAAGAAAAAATGATGGCAAAATAGGCGCCGGTAGTACACTGAGGTTGAGCCCGCTCCTCCGGACAGGGCGAAATGCGGGTTCAAGTCCCGTGTGATGTCAAAGTCCTGCACATCACTCAACATCATTGGGCATGTCTCTGACATCATGACACCGCTAAAAGAGATTAAATAGAAAGATTCTTGTTCACCACATATTATCAAGTAATTTTTTTCGCTTAAACAGCTTTAATCGTTTTCTGTGCTGCAAAGACAATTAGAAATAGCGGCTCTCGTCCTTATCTCACATGGCGGCTAATTGTCCCAACGGCTTTCATGATTTAGACTTTCGTTCGCTAGTGTTCCTTGTGTTTTTACCTGTTTACTCAAAAAACCGTTGAATTCGATCACCGATCGGTGGTCAATATGCCAAAAAAATAGAATCAAGGCTAGAAAGGAAATGAAAACGGTTTGTTTCACAACTTTTTTACTGCGCAGTGGTAATCCGAAGAGACTTCAATGGCTCAGTGCTTTGGAAAGTGCTCAGTCATTTTGAGTGAAACGAAGACACAAACGTTCGTAATCATTATTCACAGAGAATAGAATATTTGCTAATCATATCTTGCAAATGACGCGTGTAGCGGAGTGGTTAAAGACGTCAGCGCACAGAACGTGTGTTTAATCCCGCGTCCAAAGTATATCAAGCCTTCCATCCAAGAGGCAGTCGGTGAGTTGATGCCAGACTTATTTGGGAGGATAGCAGTACTGATTTAATACCTCAGTAAGCCACCTTTAGTCATTTTAGAAGCCTGATGCGCAATCAGTCACCTCTAAAGTTGCTTGATAATGATAAATGCAGTGCCACCTCCATAAGGATTAATCAACGTCGAGAGCTTTATCGTTTTTTTTTAACTTGCAAATGCTTGACTGAGTGTCTGGTGTTGTGACATAACAAGTTCATACTGCTGGTAGCATTCAATATTTTCATCCATAAAAGTTTTTCACATTCTCATTAGTAAATTTAGGATCGGAGCGAAGTGATTCTGAATCATCTCCTGTGACGACTACAAGGGCCAATAAAAGCTTGCTTGATGACAGTTTGGAGGATAAGGTAATGTGTAACACTCGGTTGCATTCTGTATGTATGTTCTAAGTTGTTTTTTCTCAGCGAGAAGCAAATGGGGTTGGTAAAAATTTGCCAACCAATGCAGATTATCTTTTCGGAATCAATCTGTCATCATCGGATTCCGACGACGAACGGGGAGATGCTATAAGAAAGAATAGAGCTGGCTACGAACCCGTTGGAGGCAAGTCTTGCAGAAGTTAGTGCTTGGTCAATTTTGCCATGTGAGATTTCCTTGTACTAACCAATTGACATTTCGTCTGTAATGGCACAGTGTTTGTGGCTCTGTGGTTAGAGGTGGTTTTTGACACACGTAATCGACCAGTCGAGGGGCGACGGTTCGACTCCGCGCTCAAGGCGCTCACCAAGTTTTCCACTTTCTTGGGGTCAATGAATTAATACAACACTTGTCTGGGGGGGGGGGGGGGGAGGAGGAAAGAGGGATAGCGAGTAGCACTCTGACTTCGTTCAACATCGATAGGCTACCTCGAGTAAGAGTCAAATTTACACTTAGTCGCCTCACGATTCTTACTGAAGTCCACTGTATAGCAAATCGCCTCAGAGATTGATCATCTTCACACTGCAATAGATTTCTAGGCAACGATAGTGTGCATGGCATCCGTATGTATTTAGAAGAAGAGAAAGCTCCTGAGAAGGAACTACCGCCTGCAGTAATGGAGGTTAGTATCTGGCGAGTCACCTCGTTGCTCTATGAAGGAAAAGTGCCAAAGT